AAGTTTGGTATATCAATGTGATGAAGCATGTAAAAATGAGCTTATACTTTTTAATTCCAGTGCAGTGTGTTGTGCCATGATGGCTGTTCTCATAGCATTGGTCGCTTCCAGTCCAACTAAGGGATGGAGTGGACGGAGTTTGAGTCTCCTTGATCCGTAAGTACCTAATCCTTCTATATAAAAAAGAATGCAGAAAAAATATGCGCTGCAGCCACTAATGAATCTTTTAGATCTATCTGGCAATACCATTGAATAGCCTTTTGTTCTGTTGAATCTATAGTACTTGAGATGTAAATTAATTGCTTATTTCTTTGTTGATTTCCATACTTTGTCAATATTAAGCATGACTTCATGGAAATGATATTGCACTAATATCTTTTGCTTTTATTTAGTGAATGTTTGTCAATGTTTTCAGTTCTCTTTCTCTTTTACTGTTTTCAAAAGTGAATTTTTGTTTTCAAATTTTTAAAAACAAGAAATATGTTCATGTTTCATGGTGAAAAACATTTTTGGTAAATAAGCCCTTAAAAGTAGAAACCAAGACAACCTTAATAAAATTATCCAAAAAAAGAAAAAAAGAAAAAAGAAATGTGCTTAAAATATTACCAAAAACTTAATTATTAGTTGTTTGTAATTTGGTTTATAACATTTTTCTATTTTACTGCACTCTGACAGAACTTATGCCAGCAAATATATACCAATTATTGCTAGTGTTAGTGAACATCAACCGCCTACATGGCCATCGTACTTTATGGACATTAATGTCTTGGCATTCTTGGTTCCAGCCGGTATTATTGTAAGTCTCAGGCTTTCAAAAAAGTTTTCACTTTTCACCTTTAACAGTGTTTATGACCTGTGCCATGATTATTTATCTGCTGGCAGGCATGCTTTTCACCTTTATCTGATGCTAGCTCCTTTGTGGTCCTCTACATTGTGACATCTGTTTATTTCTCTGGAGTCATGGTAGGTGAATATGAGCAGTCAGCTTTAATAGCTTTTGATTCTTTTTCTCTCTGAAATCTAAGCTATATCTGGTCTAAATTTACAGGTGCGCTTGATGCTTGTACTTGCTCCGGCAGCATGTATCTTGTCTGGGATTGCCCTCTCTCAAGCTTTTGATGTTTTGGCCCGATCAATCAAATTTCAACTACCTGGTTTTCCAACAAATTCTGAAGTTGATGTAAGTGGGCTTTCTTTTATTTACACAAGTTTTTCAAAGCCTGTCTGTAGTTTAATTGATCATCCAGTTTTGGGAGTATAACTTGTTGAATGCTTTTGATCATTAAGGCAGGGGATAGTAATCCTATTACTGTTGAAGCAAAAAATAATGCGCCTAAAACTGATAAAACTGGAGAGCCATCAAAGGATCGGCCCTCAAGAAAGAACAAGAAGAAGGGAAAGGAGCAGGCAGAAAGGCCTTCTGTCAAGGGTAAACCTGAAAAGAAGAGGCTTCTGGTTTTACCAATGGGAGCATCGATTCTTGCTCTTCTACTACTTGTGTTGCTCAGTGCCTTCTACGTGGTACTTGGCTCTTTTTTCTTTTTTCTTTTTTCTTTTCCATTTTTGTAATGTTGGCTATGTAATCACATGTTTTTACCTGGCGTCATTAGCAGTTGCTTACCATTTCATATCATGAAAGATGGAAGTGAATGATATACTAAATATTTATGATTCACATTTAAAGGCTGCATTTCTCTCTATTCATTGATTAATATGAGCCCTATTTTTTTCCATGAATAGTTTATAAGTTCACCATACAGATAAAATCTTGCATGTAAACAGTAAATCGTACAGTGTTGGAAATCAGGTCTTTTCTTTCTTTTTGCTTTTTATATTAAAAGGGCTCTGACGATTGGTGAGGTTGTTCTGGCAGGTTCATTCTGTTTGGGCGGCAGCAGAAGCTTACTCAGCCCCTTCAATTGTTTTAACATCTTATTCACATGATGGTCTACATGTTTTTGATGATTTTAGAGAAGCTTATGCTTGGTTGAGCCACAATACTGATGTGGACCATAAGGTAGATTCTCTCCTATGCTTTCGTCCATAGCAGTTTCTGTGGACAGCTTTTCAAGATTTGCATAATTTGTCTACCTTTTTTTCCGTGTTTTTGCCCAGATTTATTGTTTGGTTTTTGATATGGTTAAATTGTAATTACAGCTTACCTTAAACTTCTGTGCTTTTAGCTATCGTTATGAGTTCTCCTGCAGTCTTTTTTTCCAATACGAGAAATGCATCAATCTTTTTTAACATAGGGCTTTCTTTTTCTGATCTAAATTGTGAAGATTATGATTGCTGGGGGCTGGGGGCTAGCACAAGATTGTAATGGAGTGCTATGACTGAAATTAAAGTTGCTTGATTGTTGTTTATTTATTTATTTTTTGATAAGTGCTTGATTGTTGTTTATTAATGTGGCTTTAGTCAATGTATCAGGTGGAATCATTTTGTATATTTATAGATGTTAATTATACTAGATCATACCTTTCTGCTGTAGAACATCTTAATCTTTCCAGAATTAAGAGGGTCAGAACTTTTGAATACAATTGATATCATCACTTTATTGCTGTTATCAAATATTTCTAAAAAATTATAGTGTCTTTGTGTTAAGTGTTTTTGTGAAATTAATGTGTTTAGTGATGGTGGTTCTACCTAAAATCCTTTTGCAGGTTGCATCATGGTGGGACTATGGATATCAAACCACTGCTATGGCCAACCGTACTGTCATAGTTGACAATAATACTTGGAATAATACTCATATTGCAACTGTTGGTACTGCCATGTCATCCCCTGAAAAGGCAGCTTGGGAAATTTTCAACTCATTGGATGTTAAATATGTTCTTGTTGTCTTTGGAGGTCTGCTATCCTTCATTCCTTGTATTCCCAAATTATCAACCTTAACATATATATATATATATATATCAGGTATGTTGTTATTCTGATGGCATTCTTTATTTGTTAGGTCTTGTTGGTTACCCCAGTGATGATATTAATAAGTTTTTGTGGATGGTCCGTATTGGAGGGGGTGTGTTCCCTCATATCAAGGAGCCTGATTACCTGGTAAATTCTTTTCTCTAGCACACTGTTAAGGAAAATAAGAAACACTTACCTTTGGGCTTCGTAGGAATACAAGGTTTCTGCCTTTTGCTAAGAATCTAGCTGGTGTCTCTGTTCTCTGCCAATTTCTTTTCCTTATAATTGTTATTAACTGTTCCATTTTATGCCATCTACCTAAAGAGAGATGGTCAGTATCGGATTGACTCTGAGGCTACTCCAACCATGCTGAATTGTCTCATGTACAAACTCTCATATTACAGGTCTGCGTCTGCTCTGAACATTTATATTTTGAAATGATAGTTATGTTTGATCTTCTAGACTAGTTATTTATTTTGGTCCCGAATGCCTTTTCTTTAGGTTTGTGGAGACTGGTGGGAAAGGATTTGATAGAGTTAGGCAAACAGAGATTGGCAAGAAATATTTCAAACTTACTCATTTTGAGGAGGTAAGTTGATCTTTTTAGTTTTTATTTGGCTTAGATGCATACGCCAACAATATCTTTACACCTAATTCACTATCCTGCATATAGGCGTAAATTCATAGCATTCATTTTGAGCTATCTTCGGGATGGTAATAGCTACCATCTTTTTTCGTCTCCACTGGTATCAGAAAATTCAAAAGAAGTGTTTCTTATATTCTCTGAACTCAATTCTTAACATGTCAATCTTTTGAGCATGCATGACTTTTTTGTTCTGTTTTGGGTTGAATGCTGGTGTATGAATAACCATTGTCAACAAAATTTTTTCTCATAATGCAACAAGCATCCAATTATTCTGACCACATTTGCCTGGCTTCTTTTCAATTTAGGTATTCACAACTCACCATTGGATGGTTCGGATATACAAGCTGAAACCTCCAAAAAACAGGATTCCGGGAAAGTTGAAGAAATCAAAATCAGTATGTAGAGTTGATAGTTCTCTTTATTATCATCTTCATTGGTTTAAGATTCATTCTGATGACTTGCAATATTCTCTAATGTCCTTGTAGAAATCTAGCTCAAAAAGAAGTGGAACACGGAAGAATCCTTGGTACTGATATTTTGGGTCAGTTATACGAGTACATGCAAGAGAACCTATAGAGAGGCTTGCACACACGGTAGGTGATTCCTGCACTTGAGAAATTTTGCATATGATATGATCCACCAAGAGGATTTTGCAGGTTCCAATCATCTATGTAATATTTAACACAGTTTTTAGGAAACACAGATAAATTTTGCAATTTTTGTTTTCTTGTTTATTTAGATTTATAGATGATTGTGATGGCTCAGTTCTAATATGTTAAAGTTTCCTTCCAACTTCTTCTCTTCAATATTAACCCCATCATATAACATGCCAAAATTTTAAATTAAACAAAAGTTTACACCAAGAATTTTAATTTTTTACCTTTTTTCTGAAGATGACTGTCCAGCTGCTACATTTGATATTGCACCCATTCGGGACTGTAAATAAATAAAATCCTGTTATTGCCATATGCCAAGAAGCAAATTCATCTTCCTTGCCTCGGGAGGTTCTTCAACATGTAATGCAGGCTTCAGATAAATAAAATCCAGCAAGTGTGTAACTACTCTACAAGAGCTATATTTATAATTTTTCGTAACATATATGATTTCTCTACAAATTGCAGTTGCAAAAGTGTCATGGGGCTTTGGTAATCCATTTTCCACCAGCAAATTTGTTTTCGTTGGCAAATTGTAGGTCTTCCGAAGGAACTCTGCGTTTGTCTCATCGCTGCAGTAGCGCAAAAATTGCAAAGAGTGTGGTTTGATTCCGTCGGACTCTATTGATTAGAAGTTGGAGATGATGGAAGCCTGGATTTTGCAGAAGTACCATAACTCTCGAGAGTACAGCATTTGAACTGCTCAACTATGTTCTCTGTATCAGTGTGAAATACGGGAGAACTGCTTTAACTGTGTTGCACCCTCAAGTAAGATCAACTGGAAACCATCAAAGGATGCTTTCATTATATCAGAAATAACTCGTTCTATGCGCTATTGACGAAATAACCTCCAAATAGTACTCAAGTTCCTAAAGAGAAGGTTCGGTTCTAGATGATGAAACTTCCCCAACATACAGTCCATCCCAAAGGACCCGGTTCAAATCATGGAAGACGACCTTTTGTGCTGTTGCCTCACATGGTTATGGATCCCTTCCACATAAGAAGCAACTGAACGTTCAAACACTGTCCCTAACCCCATTTATCATGTTATCCCTAGAATTGGCAGATGGATTTGATCGAGGAGTTTTAAATTGAATTACTTGGGCTTTTAGATTTGTTGGTTTGAGTCGTTTCGAGTTACGGACGAAAAGAGTAAACCTATAATTCATTCACAAGGAGTCTCAAATTAAGTTGGGTGAAATTAACTTTAAAAGAATTAAAATTAAGTTAAAAATTTTTACTATATTTTTTAAAAAATTTAATATTAATTAATTATTTAATTAAAATATATTAAATTTATTATAAATTTAATAATTTATCATATAATAACTATTTTAACTTTTAAAATTAATTTTTCATTTAAAAATTAAAATTAAAATTATATTTAATTAATATTTTAAATTTAAAAATAAATTAATTTTAATTAAATTATTTTGAGTTAATCAAACTCAATTACATTCAAGTAATTTTAATTCAAGATGTATCCAATTTTAAGTCAATTCTTAGGCCTGTAGAACCCAACCCATTACTAATGGAATGGTCACATTTTTGAGTTGGGAACAATTTTACCAAATTTACATATCACTAACATTAGTGGATTCAGCATTTCAAATTTGGGCCATTGTCCTTTTTGCCAAAAGAAATAGTTGCTAGTATTAGTCTTCCGCTCTTTAAATTTTTGGTACTTTTTTGATATTCGATAAAGTACAGTATCTGATTATAAAAATTAGAGAATAGAAAAGTCTTTATCAATTTATATTGCATGTAGTTTAAGTTATAAAAATATTAAAATTTTTTAAATAAATTTTATAAAAAATATTTTATGATCTGAACTGATCAAGGCTATAAAATGCTAATCAATGCTAATCATTTAATGAGGGTTGAGTTGTAATATTAGGAGCTTTTTTTCATTAGATGGTTTTTATTTTACAGGTTGGATTAATTTAAATTGTAAAATAAGATATTTTAATTTTTATTTAAGATATTTTAATACTTTTATAATTTAGACTATACTTTTGTGCAATTTAAACTGAAAAAAGAAAAAAATCATTCTCTCTATGAAGTATGCATTTGGCAATCGGCACGTTACATTATTATATTTCCTTTGAAGTTTAATCCAACTTTTGATTTGAAAGATATTTACCTAGTGCTTAAACTCTATATCTTTCTAGGCATAGTTTTTCTTGACTCGTGCGGATGATGTTAGTGAGTTAATTTATACTTACTTGTTCTTTTGTTTTTCATATTTTTATGGAATAATTAATGGTTGCTATTGAACTAGCTAGTCTGATTACATAATTACATAATCTAATTTCGTTAATTTTCACTTTTCTTGGATCTTGCCTCGCATGAACATATTCCTTATATATAGTAAGCCCAAAATATAGAATTTCTCGAGCCAGGCCTTCGATTATGGCACAAGTCCAATAAGAGCTAAAGAGCAGTTAATTACAGGAATTGTTTTTTTCCTTTGGATCGAACTTATTTGTAATATATTTGGTTTGAGAAAAATAAAAATAAATGAAGGAGGGGAATGAGGGTTTTTTTTAATAAAATTGTAATATTTTTAAATATTATAATTTAATTGATAAAAAAAATTCTCCTCCCTCCTCTCCTCTCCTCTCCTCTCCCCTCCTTTTCCTTTTATTTTTCTCATCCAAATATATTTTTAAAATTTGATTTCAAGCTGGAGCTTGAATATATTTCTAAGCTCGAGCTCAATTTGAAAGAGAAGATATATAATTTATGATGCCCTTGCATATTGAAGTTATTGTCACCAAAGATTTTGTTAAAACTACCAATTTTAATTGTAATTTTATTAGTTCATAGTTTTTTTAAATAATTAGTTATAATATTTTTGTATATATTTATAAATTGATTTTAATATACTAAATAATAAATATTAATTGTTTTATCAATTATCAATTATTTTTAACTGCTAAATTAAGATAAAATTTGATGGTTTTGATAGTTTAATAAATTTGATAGTGGTAATAACCATAGCCACCCCTAGCATCCACTTAACTGAGTTTGACTAATAATCTAAAAGTAGTATAATAGACATTTTAGTTTAGTTTGAAAATGTTGTACATGGTATTTTTTTCACAACACATTATCTAAAAATATAAAATTATTATAAATTATTAATTTTAACTATTGTTTTATATACTTTAGTAGTTTTAATTAATATTTTATAAATTTTTAGAATAAAAAAAATTAAAAAACTTACATTAATAGTATAATCTAGCAGGATGGGTGGAGGGTTCTTAATATTAAAAAATCTACACCCATCATCCAATATTTTAGTACAATTTCGTGCTGTTCAAATTGCACATTTTAATTTTTTAATGTATATATATCAAACATTCTTAATACGATCAGTCTAATCATCTTATGATAGAAAAGATAAAACAAGTAATTAGCTTTAGTCATTAATTAAACGAATACTTCCATCCTAAAACATTTGTAAAGCTATCAACGATTAATCATGCAAAAAGAGATGAGACTTGGATTCCAAATCTTCATCAAATCATGTAGAAAGCCATGCCTTTCCAAGCTTCCAATAATTGCAAGCTAACATCCAAGCACAATGGGTCCAGTCCTTCAGGCTGCAGGTACATCATATTCATAATATATTAACTTTCAATTTAGCACCAAAAACGCATGTGATCCTTTTGAAAAATATGGGTTTGACTGAGAAGAAAGGCTCAAAGAGAAAAAGAAAAAAAGAACATCAACTTCGCTTTCTAACAAAAACTGCAAGTGCGCGATAGATTTGCAAATATTCTGTCGTGGAGATCTGGAGATCTGTAGTATGTAGACGTAGCAAATTCTAAAGGTCCCTCCTCTGTTCCTCAACGTAACAACAAAACACCGCCCCACTTTTCGTCGGATCCAAATTTCGGCCCGATTTGGACTCTAATGTCTCCCAAAAAAAGTAGAAAGTGGACTTGCTCATAGTTTCCCCCACAATAAAAGTGGACCGAAATGCGTTGGAGGAAGGTAGGCCGCTAGATTCGGGGCTGTTCTCAGAGGATAACAAAGCAATGTTGAATTGAGGTCATGAATGTATGGCACTGAGGTACCACTTGTACCTCAAATAATAGTTATATTCACTTTAGTTGATAAAAAAAAAAAAAAAATTCGGACTGTCCTCCTATCAACTTTTTTTTTTACACGTGGGAAATTATAGGAAAGGAAAAAATTTT